ATATTGTAAGTCAACTATACTTCAATTTTTAAAATGTATATAGATAGATAGTTATACACAATGGGGAAAGGACAGCCTCTTCAATAAATGGTCCTGGGGAAACTGGACAGACATTTGCAAAAGAAAGAAATTGGACCACTATCTTACACCATACACAAAAATTAACGCAAAATGGATTAAAGACTTGAACATAAGACCTGAAACCATAAAACTAGAGGAAAACATAGTAAGCTCCTTGACATTGGTCTTGGTGATGATTCTTCGGATTTGACACCAAAAGCAAAGCCAACAAAAGTGAAAATAAGCAAGTGGAACTACATCAAACTAAAAAACTTTTACATAGCAAAGAAAACTACCAACAAAATGAAAAGGCAACCTACAGAATGGGAGAAATTATTTGCAAATCATATATCTGATAAGGGGTTAATATCCAAAATATATAAAGAACACATACAATTCAATGGCAAAAAAACCCCCAAACAATCCAATTAAAAAATGGGCAGAGGATCTGAATAAACACTTTTACAAAGAATACATACAGCTGGCCAAGAAGTAAATGAAAAGGTACTGAGAAGCACTGGTGAGGGTGTAGAGAAAAGGGAACCCTTGTGCACTATTGGTGGGAATGTAAATCAGTACAGCCACTATGGAAAACAGTACAGATGTTCCTCAAAAAATTAAAAATATAACTATCACGTGATACAGCAATTCTACTTCAGGGGCTTTACCCAAGGAAAACAAAAACACTAACTTGAAAAGATATTTGTAACCCATGTTCATTGCAGCATTACTTAGAATAGCCAAGATATGAAAACAACCTCGGTGTCCACAAATGGATGAATAAAGAAAATGTGATATATATATATACACACACACACACATAATATGTGCGTGTGCACATGTACACACACACACAATGGAATGTTATTCAACCATCAAAAAGAAGGAAATCCTGCCATTTGCGACAACATGGATGGACCTTGAGGGCATTATGCTAAGTGAAATAAGTCAGACAGAGAAAGACAAATACTATGTGATCTCACTTATATGTGGAATCTTTAAAAAAAAAATAGGAAAAAAAAAACAAACCCAGTTCATACAGAGGAACAGGAAGTGGGGGGTGGGAGAAATGGGTGAAGGGGCTCAAAAGGTAAAAAATTCCCGTTATAAAATAAGTCATGGGGGTGTAATGTACAGCATGGTGACTGTAGTTAATAAAACCATGTTACATATTTGAAGGTTGCTAAGAGAGTGAATCTTGAAAGTTCTCATCACAAGAAAAAAATTTGTAACTGTGTATGGTGGCAAATGTTAACCAGACTTACTATGGTGATCATAAACAATTAAAAAAAATAATACCTTTTAGAGCAGTTTGAGGTTCATAGCAAATCTGAGGGGAAGGTACAGAGATTTTTATATGCCCTGCCCCCCCCACATGCATAGCCTCCCCCATTATCAACATCCCCATCAGAGCAGAACATTCCTTGCAACTGATGAACCTACACTGATATATCATTATCACCAAAATCTATAGTTTACATTACACTTGCCTCTTGATGTTATATATTCTATGGGTTTGGACAAATTTATGATGGCATGAACCCATCATTACGGCATCCTACAGTATTTTCACTGCCCTAAAAATCCTCTGTGCTCTGCCTATTCATCTCTCCCCCTTCAACCTCCCGCAATCACTGAATTTTTTACTGTCTCCATGGTTTTGCCTTTAACAGTCTATTTTGATAACTATATTAATAACAGATTATGGTACTTGAATGGTCTGAATGTTTGTTTCTTCCCAAAATTCATGTTGAAATCCTAACCCCCAAAGGTTATGGTATTGGTAGGTAGGGCCTTTGGGAGCTGCTTCAGTCATGAGGGTGGAATCCCCATTAACAGGGCTAGGACCTTATAAAAAGGCTCCAGAGAGCTCCCTAGCACATTCTGCCATAAGAGGACACAACAAGAAGTCTGAGACCTGGAAGAGGGCCCTCATCCATCCACACTGATCCCAGACTTCCAGCCCCCAGAAGTGTGAGAAATCAATTCCTGTTGTGTATAAGCTACTCCGTGTGTGGCATTTTGCTATAGCAGCCCAAATGGACTAAGCCAGCATTTGAGTAATATCAACTGCACACTTTTTTTCTTTGTAAACCTCAACAGTACATTTTTAAAGTGTCAACAGCAAATGTGCGAACATCCTTTATAAGTGAAGAGACTAAAGTTCTGAAAGGTTGTCATTTGCCCAGGATCATACAGCAAAAGGCTGGGAAGCTGACTTGTCACAAGGCTTTGAAGCCAGGTTTGTCACCCAAGTCCATGGTTTTTCCATATCAAGTGATTCCACCTTTATAGGTTAAGTGCCAGTTAATCATAGAACTCTAATTGCAACCCAGATCAATCCTCTTTCCTCTTACTCAGTAGGCTTCTTGAGGTTATGGAAAATGAGAATAGGGGACTCTTTATGCATTTAAATGTTAAGCGCTAACATATATAACGATATAGAGAAACATCTTTATTTTTCTTAGTCATATATGTGATCCCTCCCCTCGGAGAGGCCTTCCTGATACCAATGGTCCTAGGATAAAAGAAGAATCCTGCTGCTCTCAAACACTGCTGATAGAAATGTAAAGTGTTACTGCCTTTTGGAAAAGTAACCTTGAAATATTTTAATCTTGCAAAATTTATCAAAAAATAAAAGTATATATTCCCTTGATTCAGCAACCCCACACCTAACTCCCATAGCAATAAAAGCACCAGTACATAAGGACATATGCACAAGAATGTTTACCACAGTAAACGCTGTAGCAAAAATCTGGAAACAAAACAAACAATTAGAGTATAACATATCCATTACATGAAATATTATGAAGTCATTAAAAGGCTTACAGGACAAAGGTGCCAGGACCACTCAATGTGGGAAAGAAGAGTTTCTTCAACAAATAGTGTTGGGAAAACTGGTTAGCCACATGCAAAAGAATTAAGTTGGATGCTTACCTAACACCATATACAAAAATCAGCTAAAAATGGATTAAAGACCTAAATTTAAGACCCCAAACCATAAAACTCCAAGAAGAAAACATAGGGGAAAAGCTTCATGATACTGGATTTGGCAATGATTTCTTGGAAATGACACCAAAAGCACAAGCAATACAAACAAAAATAGACAAATGAGACTATATCTAACTTAAAAACTTCTGTGCATCAAAGGATGTAATCAATTTTCTAAACAAGTATATACAAAATCTTTATAAATTCACATATTTCTCCAAAAGTGTACAAGCAGTCTCAATTCATTGGGACAAAAATCAATATTTTTGTGCTCCACAGGTGACTGAATGAAGTCTTTGTACAGTTCAGGGAAGCTATGGATAGAAACTGAGCTAGGTTTGAAAAACAATACTGTGTCATGTAAAAACAACAATTCACAGCTGTTGTGGACAGCCACTTGCTCCCTTTCAGGGTTCCAGGTCCCTTTGTGTGGCAGAGGTCTTAAATTTGAAGTCTTTCTGTGGTCCTCATGGACAGCGCCTTGGATCTCTGTGAGGTCCTCAGTAGTGTCTCTGTGTCGGAGGAGAGGTGCCAGGATGCATGGGGTGGGGTTGCCGTCATCAAAGTGGACATGCTTGCTCTCTTCCCTGGTGCTCAGTGTCCGTGTGTTTGCATGGCATCTGTGGCTTTCAGTCGGGTCGAGTTGCCCTGTGGGCAGGAGGATGGCACGTGTGACAAGGCTGTCGAGCATTTGAGCGTTTCCTTGGGGGTCAGGGCCGCAAGTCCTGCCAGCTGGAGAGCTGGCTGGAACGTGGCCGGGAAGGTGGCCTAGTTTCTGCTGTGGGGTTTGACCCTGGGTCATGGTTGCTGAAGACCACTGCTTCCCATGGTCGGTGTCCCTGCGGGTCCCCAGAAGATGATCTGGCCTAGTTGGCCTGAAGTGGCACCTGGGCTGAATTCCTTTGGCCCCTTGAGAGGAAGACAGGCTGCATCTTGCCTGTAGCCAGCTGCAGGGTGGTGTCAGCCTGCCCATGGGAGGCTCCCTTGTTCCTGGAAGCGCTGGCAGTGGCCCCAAGTGCACATCAGATGTGCTAGTAGCTGGCAGGGTCTCCAGGTCCACATAGATGTCACATCCACGGCCGGGAGGCTGGTCCCTCAAGTCTATGTGCTTTGGTCAGAAGGCGGGGCTGCTGAAGAGTGGGAGCCCATGGCTATTTCAACAGCCCATCGGGGTCAAAGTTCGCATGCGGCCTCTTGAAGGCGGCTGGGGTCTTTCTCCATTCAGTAGGAGGGTCCGAGGCCAGGGCTCTGTGTATAAGGTGTGGCTTTTACTGTTCAAGGCACTGCAGAGGAGCAAAGGGACACACAGAGACCAAGACGCAGATACAGAGGCACACACAGAAACCCGCAAGCATGTCCACGCGCGCAATCACAGACGCACGCATGCGCACACACATACACCCTCTCACGCGCAGGCCCACCTACGTGCCTACCTTCCTGCAGTTGTGCTGTCAGACATGCATTCAGTTCTCCTAAGTGATAGAGGTACTTGGGAAGCAGGTGCAGGGCTCACGCCCAGGTAAATGTTTGCATTAATCGTGTTTTCTGAGAACCACGGTCCAATTCTGAAGCCTGTGTGATTTCTGTCTACTTCTCAGGTGCACTTGCTGGGCAAGGCTGGCTGTTGGTGAGGACAAGAAGACCTTCGCGTGGTCTGAGGACTGGAGGTGGTAGGGAGACCTGGAAGAAGTGAGGTAGGCCCAGGGTGCCGAGCGTGGCTGTGGATACCTCAGGACAGTAGGCCTTCAAGCACCCCAAGATGTGCCACTGGATATTAGGGTTTCCTCAGACGGGCCCAGTGGCTGCAAGCATGGATTGACTGTTCCTCTTGCTGAGTGGCCTGGGGGCTGTGGATTCCCCAGGCTGTTGGAGTACTTGGGGGTCACTGGCTCCTCGGCGGAGCCACGCGGCCTGCCCTGTCGGGTTCTGCAGCGTCCCAGCACGTGCTCGGATTGATGATGACTCCCTTGTATGCATTCCTTGGAAAATCTGAACAAAATGAGGGAGAACACTCTACCGTTTCCTCATCGAAACTGAGGTCCAAAAAATAAAAACAACAATTCACAGTTGAACTGAAACACTGTGAATGCGTTAATACCTGCCATAAAACAACAATTTATCTAATACAGTATTAACCTGCTTGTCATGTAACACAATGTTCATTGCAGCACTATTTACAATAGCCAGGATATGGAAGCAACCTAACTGTCCATCAACAGATGAATGGATAAAGAAGATGTGGCACATATATACAATGGAATATTACTCAGCCATAAAAAGAAATGAAATTGAGTTATTTGTAGTGAGGGGGATGGACTCAGAGTCTGTCATACACAGTGAAGTCATAAAGAGAAAAATGAATATTGTATGCTAACACATATATATGGAATCTAAAAAAAAAATGGTTCTGAAGAATCTAGGGGCAGGACAGGAATAAAGACACAGACGTAGAGAATGGACTTGAGGACAGGGGGAGGGGGAAGGGTAAGCTGGGACGAAATGAGAGAGTGGCATGGACACATATACACTACCAAATGTAAAACAGATAGCTAGTGGGAAGCAGCCACATAGCACAGGGAGATCAGCTCGGTGCTTTGTGACCACCTAGAGGGGTGGGACAGGGAGGGTGGGAGGGAGAGGCAAGAGGGAGGGGATATGGGGATATATGTATACGTATAGCTGATTCACTTTGTTATACAACAGAAACAAACACAACAATGTAAAGCAATCATACTCCAATAAAGATGTTAAAAAAAAATTAACCTATTTGCTAAACAGGCTTTGATTTATAAGATGCATATATTTCCAAAACTGTTCAACATCTCTACTTATAAATTAATTCACAGGATTCATATAGTTGCTTTTTAGTTTCAAAAGGGTGTTAGCAAAAATAATACGAGGAGACCTTCAAGATGGCAGAGGAGTAAGACGTGGAGATCACGTTCCTCTCCACAAATACATCAGAAATACATCTACATGTGGAACAACTCCTACAAAACACCTACTGAACACTGGCAGAAGACCTCAGACTTCCCAAAAAGCAAGAAACTCCCCATGTACCTGGGTAGGGCAAAAGAAAAAAGAGACAAAAGAATAGGGACGGGACCTGCACCAGTGGGAGGGAGCTGTGAAGGAGGAAAGGTTTCCACACACTAGGAAGCCCCTTCACTGGTGGAGATGGCGAGTGGGCGGGGTGGGGGAAGCTTTGGAGCCACGGAGGAGAACACAGCAACAGGGGTGCGGAGGGCAAAGTGGAGAGATTCCCACACAGAGGATTGGTGCCGACCAGCACTCACCAGCCCAAGAGGCTTGTCTGCTCACCTGCCAGGGCGGGTGGGGGCTGGGAACTGAGGCTCCGGCTTCGGAGTTCAGATCCCAGGGAGAGGACTGAGGTTGCCTGCGTGAACACAGCCTGAAGGGGGCTAGTATGCCACAAGTAGCCTGGAGGGAGTCTGGGAAAAAGTCTGAAACTGCCTAAGAGGCAAGAGACCATCCTTTCGGGGTGTGCGAGGAGAAGGGATTCAGAGCACCGCAAAAACGAGCTCCAGAGACGGGCGCGAGCCGCGTCTGTCAGCGCAGACACCAGAGACGGGCGTGAAGTGCTAAGTCTGCTGCTGCAGCCACCAAGAAGCCTATGAGCAAGCACAGGTCACTATCCACGCCTCCCCTCCCGGGAGCCTGTACAGCCCACCACTGCCAGGGTCCCATGATCCAGGAACAACTTCCCCAGGAGAGCACACAGCACGCCTAAGGCTGTTGCAACGTCACGCTGGCCTCTGCTGCCGCAGGCTCGCCCCGCATTCTATACCCCTCTCAGCCCCGGGCCTGAGCGAGCCAGAGCCCCCTAATCAGCTGCTACTTTAACTCTGTCCTGAGTGAAGAACAGACGCCCTCTGGTGACGTAAACGCAGAGGCAGGGTGAAAGCCAAAGCTGAACCCCAGGAGCTATGAGAACAAAGAAGAGAAAGGGAAACTTCTCCCAGCAGCCTCAGGAGCAGCGGATTAAATCTCCACAGTCAACTTGATATACGCTGCATCTGTGGAACACCTGAATAGACAACGAATCATCCCAAATTGAGGCGGTGGACTTTGGGAGCAACTGTAGACTTGGGGGTTTGCTTTCTGCATCTAATTTTTTTCTGGTTTTATGTTTATTGTAGTTTAGTGTTTAGAGTTTATTATCATTGGTAGATTTGTTTATTGATTTGGTTGCTCTCTTCCTTTTTTTAATATATATATATTTTTCCTTTTTCTCTTTTTGTGAGTGTGTATGTATATGCTTCTTTGTGTGATTTTGTCTGTATAGCTTTGCATTTACAATTTGTCCTAGGGTTCTGTCTGTCTGTTTTTTGGGGGGGTTTTGTCTTTTTTTAGTATATTTTTTAGCCCTTGTTATTGTTGGTGGATTTGTTTTTTGGTTTGGTTGCTCTCTTCTTTATTTTTTTAATACTTTAAAATTTTTAAAAATACTTTTTAAATTTTTTTATTTTAATAACTTTATTTTATTTTTTCTTTCTTTCCTTCTTTTTTCTCCCTTTTCTCCTGAGCCATCTGGCTGACAGGATCTTGCTGCTCCGGCTGGGTGTCAGGCCTGTGCCTCTGAGGTGGGAGAGCTGAGTGCAGGACATTGGTCAACCAGAGACCTTCTGGCTCCATGTAATATCAAACAGCAAAAGCTCTCCCAGAGATCTCGATCTCAATGCTAAGACCCAGCTTCACTCAACGACCAGCAAGCTACGGTGCTGGACACCCTATGCCAAACAACTAGCAAGAAAGGAACACAACCCCACCCATTAGCAGAGAGGCTGCCTAAAGTCATAAGTTCACAGACACCCCAAAACACACCACCAGATGTGGACCTGCCCACAAGAAAGACAAGATCCAGCCTCATCCACCAGAACACAGGCACCAGCCCCCTCCACCACGAAGCCTACACAACCCAATGAAACAACCTTAGCCACTGGGGACAGACACCAAAAACAACAGGAACTATGAACCTGCAGCCTTCAGAAAGGAAACTCCAAACACAGTAAGTTAGGCAAAATGAGAAAACAGAAAAACACACAGCAGATGAAGGAGCAAGGCAAAAACCCACCAGACCAAACAAATGAAGAGGAAATAGGCAGTCTACCTGAAAAAAAAATTCAGAGTAATGATAGTAAAGATGATCCAAAATTTTGGAAATAGAATGGAGAAAATACAAGAAACGTTTAACAAGGACCTAGAAGAACTAAAGAGCAAACAAACAATGATGAACAACACAATAAATGAAATTTAAAATTCTCTAGAAGGAATCAATAGCAGAATAACTGCGGCAGAAGAATGGATAAGTGACCTGGAAGATAAAATAGTAGAAATAACTACTGCAGAGCAGAATAAAGAAAAAGACTGAAAAGAATTGAGGACAGTCTCAGATACCTCTGGGACAACATTAAACACACCAACATTCGAATTATAGGGGTCCCAGAAGAAGAAGAGAAAAAGAAAGGGACTGAGAAAATATTTGAAGAGATTATAGTTGAAAACTTCCCTAATATGGGAAGGGAAATACTCAACCAAGTCCAGGAAGCACAGAGAGTCCCATACAGGATAAATCCAAGGAGAAACATGCCAAGACACATATTACTCAAACTGTCAAAAATTAAATACAAAGAAAACATACTAAAAGGAGCAAAGGAAAAACAACAAATAACACACAAGGGAATCCCCATAAGGTTAACAACTGATCTTTCAGTAGAAACTCTGCAAGCCAGAAGGGAGCGGCAGGACGTATTTAAAGTGATGAAAGGGAAAAACCTACAACCAAGATTACTCTACCCAGCAAGGATCTCATTCAGATTTGATGGAGAAATTAAAACCTTTACAGACAAGTAAAAGCTAAGAGAATTCAGCACCACCAAACCAGCTTTAAACAAATGCCAGAGGAACTTCTCTAGGCAAGAAACACAAGAGAAGGAGAAGACCTACAATAACAAACCCAAAACAATTAAGAAAATGGTAATAGAAACATACATAGCAATAACTACCTTAAATGTAAATGCTCCAACCAAAAGACCCAGACTGGCTGAATGGATACAAAAACAAGACCCATATAAATGCTGTCTACAAGAGACCCACTTCAGACCTAGGGACACATACAGACTGAAAGTGAGGGGATGGAAAAACTTATTCCATGCAAATGGAAATCAAAAGAAAGCTGGAGTAGCAATTCTCATATCAGACAAAATAGACTTTAAAATAAAGACTATTACAAGAGACAAAGAAGGACACTACATAGTGATCACGGGATCAATCCAAGAAGAAGATACAACAATTGTAAATATTTACGCACCCAACATAGGAGCACCTCAATACATAAAGCAAATGCTAACAGCCATAAAAGGGGAAATCAACAGTAACACAATCATAGTAGGGAACTTTAACACCGTACTTTCATCAATGGACAGATCATCCAAAATGAAAATAAATAAGGAAACACAAGCTTTAAATGATACATTAAACAAGATGGACTTAATTGATATTTATAGGACATTCTGTCCAAGAACAACAGAATACACTTGTTTCTTAAGTGCTCATGGAACATTCTCCAGGATAAATCATATCTTGGGTCACAAAACAAGCCTTGATAAATTTAAGAAAATTGAAATTGTATCAAGTATCTTTTCTGACCACAACGCTATGAAACTAGATATCAATTACAGGAAAAAATCTGTAAAAATACAAACACATGGAGCCTAACAATACACTACTAAATAACCAAGAGATCACTGGGGAAATCAATGAAGAAATCAATAAATACTAGAAACAAATGACAATTAAAACACAACAACCCAAAACCTAGGGAATTCAGCAAAAGCAGTTCTAAGAGGAAAGTTTATAGCAATACAACCCTACCTCAAGAAACAAGAAAAACCTCAAATAAACAACCTAACCTTACACCTAAAGCAATTAGAGAAAGAAGAACAAAAAACTCTCAAAGTTAGCAGAAGGAAAGAAATCAAAAAGATCAGATCAGAAATAAATGAAAAAGAAATGAAGGAAA